GCCACGCGGTGCGTCTGACTCATCATTGCTACTGACGTGGCCCATATTTCTTCCTTTTGCAATTTGACCCTTTAGTTTTAAAATTTTCCTTTCAAACACTCCCCTTTATTCACAGTTTCACCATGTTTTTCCAAAATTAATGTCAATTTAATCCCAAATCCATATTTCTCCCAAAAATTAATAAAAAATAGAAAAATTAAATCATATTTGTAACACCCAGGCCCGGGATAAATTTTTCCAACTTAAATAATATATATAAATATAATTAAATTTTATTCTAATTTAGTTTTTATTAAAATTTTGAGAAAAAATAAATTAAGGATAAAATTGAAAACAATTCTGGAAAAATATAGGTGAAATTGTAAATAGGGGGTGTTTTTAAAAGAAAATTTGAAAAAAAGTGGCTGAAATCGTAAAAAAAATATATAGCCACGTAGGATTGCCACGTCAGCAGCCATGGCGAACCAGAATATGCCATGTAACGGAGACACTAACATTAGCTCCGCGCGGGTGATCCACATTCCTGGGCGATCCCACGGTTCAGATCACATCTCGTGTGCACGAATGGCTCATGTATGTTTCCCCTTCAAGCATGATCGAACGGTCAGATTCAATCCGATCGTGCAGCTCAAATTCATTCTTTGAATAAGAAGGATCCAACGAATGGGAGAGGGTGACGTGTCTCCGTACAAATGACTCAGATTGACTCAGAGAGGATATTTAACCATCGTGTTCTAGGGAACCCTAACCCTAGCCGCACTAGTCCTCATTGGAGAAGAAGAAGAAGGGCCGTCAGAAAAGAAATTGATTGTCATTGGCGCCGTACCAGAACCACCGTTGACACTGAAACAAGTAATATTTTTCTCTTTCTCGCTCGAAATTTGATCCTGAGTCTCCTCATGCTCATATCAAAGCCAAAGAGTTGACAGGTGAGCCGAAAATTATGGACAAAGCTCGGCCGAGCCGTCGCACCCAAAAACCAAAACCCTCTCTGATGACCTCCTTTCTGTTTTTCGTTTCGCATGATTCTTCGACCATTGTGTTTATTGTCATTTTCTGATACAGGTTAGCCGAAAAGGGACCCCAACCACGAAGGAGGATCGAGGAGCCGCTGCATTCGGAGAACCCCCCGTCAGTAGGTTTCGATTTTTTTTGTATTTTTCAGCCAACTAAGCCTCTTAACTTGTTTTTTCATAGGGTTACGAGTAAAACCGACCAAAACTAGCCAAGTCAAGATGAACCGCCACCATGGGCGTTGAAGCACAGCGAGGCCGCTGTGACAGAATCCTGAAATTAGCGAAAAAGTTTTTCAACGCCTATTTTGGCCTTTTAAGGTATTTTTGAATATGTGACGAGTATTTTAATTTTTACAGAAAAAATCAAGAAACCCAGGGACCGTCAGGTGTCATAGTAGAGAGTACGGTATTTCAGACACCGATCCCGTGTAAGAATTCCTCACATTTTTTTCTGTTACAGTAAATTGAAGATTAATAATTGATAATACTGTGTTTTGTGAAAATTAAAAAACTCTAAATATAATTATAAGTTACTAGTGGAGGCAGAACCAATCAGTACATATTTGCCATAGTTTATTGTTTATCTTCTCTTGTATTGCTCAAAATATTTATTATTACACTGTATGTATTAAATTGCTAGTGTTAATTGTTTTCTCAGTTATTTAGTTTACCTAATTGTATGACCATCATTTATTGATTCGTTTTGTAATAAATGTCTCAATCATGTTTCTTATTGTACATATCGTTTATTTGCATGACTTACAATTAAAATGTAAATATGAGATGTTGATATGTAACTGCTAATTGGTTAATGGTGTGAATTATGTATGAAATGCTTACTTAGTACCCTGAAAAATAGTGGACGAACCTGGTATATAGAAAAACCCTACTATGAACGTTACCTCAGTCATACGGGGCTAAAAAATTCCATACTGGAAGAGGTTGGGAGGTATAGTTCACCTTTATACTGGACGATATATTGAGATGGTGACATGTTTGGCACTCATTACCGAACACGGTAATAGAGACGGTCAATTAATTGATAGCTTGGATATTGGGTCCATGCGTAGGGGGATTTCTATGGACTCCCAAAGGTACTGGTAAGCAGAAAAGAATGTAAGTTGTTATTATTGCTCATTTTGTATGCGACTGATGATAGTTTGATGACATGATTCTACGAAAGAAATGTTTATTGAGTACCGTAGGAAAGAGTGGACGAACCCGGTACATAGGAAAACCCGACCATGGACATTACCTCAGTCGGATGGAATTGAGAAGTTTCATATTGGAAGAGTTTGGAAGATATAGTTCACCCTCATATCGGATGTGGTATCAAAGTGATGGTACGTTTGGCGCCCATTACCAGATGGGGTATGGGGACGACCGGTTAATTGACAAATTTGGTTATTGAGTTCACACATAGAGAGACATCCTAATGGACCTCTAGAGGTACTGGTAAGCATGTAAAATGGTAAGTTGCTATTCTTGCTCGCATGAATATGAAATTACAATATTATTTGAGTTATTGTCTTCGTATGTCGATTTTGTGAATTTATAACGGTAAGTATGGAATAAATAGTTTTAATGTTAAATGAATTTACCTGAATTAATGGTTTCATTAGTTATTTTATAATTTTTATCAACATTTAGTTTTTCGTATCAGTGATTAATGTGATATTCTTACTGGGCTAATGTAACTCATCTCCCTATTTAATTATTTAATATCAAGAAGATGAAAATACAGATCCTGAACAGCATGAGGGTTGCGAGTAAATGTTACATCCTGAATCCCATCAAAGTTTTCAATAGAAGTTAAACCCCATAGGATTTTAGTTTCATTTTTGTTTTTGTTATTTTAATTTTTTTTAAGATGGACAACTCCGTAACTCTATTGGGCATCCTAATTTACTGTGTAAGGAATGTAAACTTTAATTATTATTTGTTTCCACTATTTTAATATATATTCTCTTTATTAAGATTTCAGACCTTTATACTATTTATTATTTCATTAATACTAAATTATTCCGATTTAAATTTCGAGTTCAAGTGTTACAGATTTTATTATTTTTATCAATAAATAAACTATTTTATATATTTCAAATTTATATAGACCAAAAAATTTCGTCCAATTTAATTTAAATCAAACTAAATCATCCCAAATTCACCCGAATTAAAATTAATGCAATTTAATTTATTTTCAAAGTAAATAATTTAGTCAAATATTAAATACTATATATGTTTAATAATAAACGCTCTTAACACCAAAAGGAAGGGACGTGTATATTTTCACAAGATACCTTGAGCCAATAATTTTGTGTATATAGTCAACAAGGGCAATCATATATACATATAACGTGTATATGTATGTGGCTGGTTGTGTTATCTGCCCACCATTATTTACATATTTATATGAGAGAGGAGAATTTTTCTGCATAATTCATGCATTCAAAGGTCAACTAATCGTGCTCACTCAAGAATCGGTGGCTTTAAATGTTTTTGTTTTTGTTTTTGTTTTTTTATAACCAAGAAATTTATTCTTCATAATTAGCTTTTTGACTCGTGTTATATATATATATATATATATATATATATATATATATATGGGATTTGATAAATTCCCATATAAGATAGTGGGGAGTATTTATTTTGTCGTCGATGTCATGATTTATATGAATTTCACCTTTGTTAATATTATTATTATTGTTATTATCATTATTTATATTAATTTATAATATTTTAAAAAATAAATATTAGAATTAAAATTATGAAAAATTAATAATTTACTAGTTAATTCCTTAATCTCAATGCATATATATATATATATGTATGTATGTGTGTGTGTATACATATATAAAGTTTGTGACGAGTGTTACCACACTTAGACACATTATATGAACTAATTATTTTTTATAATTGATTTAGTTATTTTTTATATTATGTGTTTCAATCGTCTATTATTTAATTTAATTAATGTGATTCAGTAGATATAAGACATTAATTATTTTTAGTAATATATGTGGTAGATTGTATATATATAATTTATACATACTTAATTAATATATATATAATTAATTTAATTAGCATATATTTTATATATTATTCTTCATAATCACGTGTTTAATGATTATTAGAATAAATTATTTAATTAATATTCTTTTAATTTTTATATATATTGCATTTTGTATATAATAACGTATTTATAGATTTATGATTCCTCTGTGAAATTTTTATTTATTGTATATAATAATTAATATTATTTTAATTTACATAAAAGCAATATAAATTAATAATAAAAAGTATGTATAATTAACTTATATTATTCATATTAAATGAATATAACTTTTTTTATAATTTTTAATCAAGACTTATATTTAATATAAATACTTTAATTATATATTTTAACAAATAAAATAATCTTTTAAGAGTAAAAAAAATTGAAATGTTTAATTTAATTTATTTACTTTTCTTATAAAATAAAATCCATTTGGATTTTACAAACCACTAGGCCAAGAAGATTTACTGGTCGGCTAAAATGGTGGCCGTCGACTATGTTTTGCTTTATATATATATAATGACCGAAAAGCCGCATCCAAAACCTAATTTCGCTTTCTTACCAGCGAACTTAAGCTTCAAATTAGCAGCTATGGAGATGGAAGAGCACATTTACAACATGAGTTGAAGCTCAAGACCTGCAACGACGTCGTCTTCATCCATGGCGGATCAAGATGTTCGTCATCATGTTTATAACAACGTGGGCCTCCGATTGGGCGATAACTAAGAGGAAACTAGGGCCTCAATTGAAACCTTAGGCCCTGTATGTCTCATGAATTTCTAAAGAACTTGTAGTGGACTTGAATACACAATTGCTAAACCCTAACGAGGCCTCTAAACAATTAGTAAATTCTGTTTGCAGCTCTACTAAAAAAATTCACCATATATACATATATATATATATATATATATTATTTAACTTACACTGACTGATGCGGCGCCAATAAAAGGGGAACTGCAGTGGCGAGCTCGGTTTCATCAGCAGAGATAGTGTCTGGAAGCGAAGATCTTCTCGAAGAAATCCTCCTACGAGTTCCCGCACGGCAACTTATCCAACTCAAATTGGTATCCAAGAAGTGGCTCGCCTTCATCTCCGGTCCCGAGTTCTGTCGTCGGCACAGTCGCCGCAATGCCTTCCCCAAAGCTTCCGGAGTTTCCATGCGCAGGAGGCGAACCGAAATCGTATTCATCTCCCTCACCGGAAAAACCCATACATCCACTTCCCACTCTCTCGATTTTGTCAATTATCCACCGGGGTTGAGAATTTTGCAATCCTGCAACGGCTTGCTGCTCTGTTCGAGTTTGTTTATTGTCGGCTCCACATGCGACTACTACGTCTGCAATCCGACTACCGGAAGGTTCTCAATGCTTCCTCCCCTTCTCACCGCTGAATCAGACACTGTTTTGGGCGCTAATTTAGCCTTCGATCCCAGAAAATCTCCTCACTATGCGGTGGTTTGCGTTCGTCGCTCTTCGTCGTTGGTGTACCGTTACGAGATTGAGATATATTCATCTGAAATTGGCAATTGGAGTGTTTGCGAGAGTCCCTGTGTTGCGCCATATTATATGTTTTTTGATGATGCCTTCTTCTGGAATGGCGCGCTCCACTGGATCAGTCTTCTTGGGGAATCCATTCGCTTTGATGTGGAGAGACGATCCCTCGCGAAAATGCGGCAGGTTCATACTCGGGGAACCCATTCCCGGGGGAAGAGGAGATATAATTTCTTTGGGAACCCTCACGGTCCTCTCCACCTTATCGAAATCCATGGCGTACGCGTTACCAAGTTCAATATATTTCTCATGGAGGGAGACTACGCCAGTTGGGTTTTCAAGTACCAAGGGGATTATCCCAGAAGCCATTGCTGGCTCTCTTAACTCCGAGATCGCTTTACTTTTTACTCGTCAGGGGAGGAGATGAAGAGGACATATTACTCCTGCTCCGTATTGCAGGTATGATTGTTTCTTATAATGCCGCAAAAAATACATTCACGAACCTGCGTAACTTAGGCTGGTACGAGACGGCGGGTTTATATTATGGATGGCCCGATGCGTACGAATTCATTGAGACTCTTGCTCGGGTGTGAAGACATTGGACTCTTTGGTTTTGTTTAGTCTTAAATCTTATCATGCCATGGGGTTTTTTACTGTAGCTTCTGATCATCTCGTATATGGCTCTGTTTTTTTTTTTTTGTGATATTTCTGAATTTGGGCAGAATAAGTGAAATTTGTGGATAGCAATTATGAACAAAGTTGTTCATAGTTTTTAGCTTTATGGTTATGGGTTCTTTTGTGACCATTCAATTACAATCTGCATAAGATGCGAGTGGATTATCGTTAATCATTTTGTATAATACTGTTATTTACGTTTTCATGTATTATAATTACATCTTTAGTATTTTTTAATTTATTTTAAGAATGTTCAATTGGTTTTTATTTTTAAATGAAAAAATCAAAATGATTAGGTAATATTTAAATATTTAAAGATTTTGAATAGTTAATTAAATAACAAAAGAGTATATCTGATATTATTATTAATTAATAAATTTATTAATTTAATTAATTATTATTTTTTTGTAAAGTCTTAATTATTTTAATTTTTTTCATTCCAATATATTCAAAATGTATATAAAATATTAGTAACTAAATAATTAAATTTGGTAATTTAGATAAATCCCAAAATCTGGGCGGGAGTTCTATTTTGTTGATTTTTTAAAATTTGAAAATATAGTTACAACATTATTCAATATATTATTATAAAATTCTTTCCAAAACTAAATTCATTTCTTCTTTTAAAACTTTAAATAAAAATTACGCATGCACCAAAAAGTGATTATGTAACGGCCCCGGAAATTTAAAATGAAATGTATATTAAAAATATCAAATGCGGAAGCGAAGTCAAAAATTCGATTAACATCCCTTACACTAAAACCAAAAACGTGCTCACAATATAAAAGATCAAACTACCTAAAGGAGAAACTTGAAAGTAAAAACTACGAATATGACTATGGAGTCTTTAGGCGTCTCCTTCGTCGTCCTCCTGCAGAACCGGCTCGGGAACGATGTCTTCCTGATCTGAAATGATTAAATAAGGAATGAGCTACACTAGCCTAGTAAAGACATCACGATATCTCACCGTCACGGAGGTAAATGTGGGTAGAAAACACAAAAAGACCAATGGAACATAATTTACAACAAATCATTTTATCAATAATAAAACTTTTACCATTCACTTACCTCGCTGAAATTCATAAAAACAATATACGAAAGCAATAACATTATCATCATCATGAAATCATATATAAACTGTATAATATAATACTTATCAAGCCTTTCGTAATTCAATCGTTACACAACATATTTTCCTCATTTACCAGCCCACTAGTATCCATGGGGATCCATAGGGGTCCCGCTACCCGTTAACCCTTAACACTTGAAATCATATTCCAGGGTCGTCCCCATACCCCGTTCAGTATGGGCGCCAAAACTATAAACCTCATTACCCCGTCCGGTATGAGGGTGAAACGGGCCGTCCCCATACCCCGTCCGGTATGGGCGCCAAAACACATAAGATCTCCATACCCCGTCCGGTATGAGAGACCACAATTCCGGTAGGGTTCCCTACGGACCCGGTCCGTCCACCATCTCCCAGGATATCTAGTCAGGCTGACCACATTATACGATTACCCATTTACATAATCTTTCATTCTCTTTTTCCTCAGTCAGCATCATTAATCAACATACAAACAAGCAAAACGGTAATTTATGTCAAACAGACAACATACAGCATCAATATCCCAGTCATTCAATCCATAATCAATAAAACAGTAAAATATGCACACGAAACTATAAAATGAAAACATCAAATCTCATACTGCATTTAAAACTGTAAAACATGCCAAATAACAGTTAACCGACAAACACACTAGACTCGGGCTCCATTAGCGACCTTAAGCAATTTCACACATTCGTTGATTTATGAAATACCATTTTATCATTTATTGAACTTTAATACCGTGATAGGAAATAGGGTGAGGGGTCCTTACTCGTTTCGGGGTCCGAACACGGTTTCACAGTGTGCCTACAGGCTGTCCCTAATTTTCCCTGAATTTTTCCGGGAAACTGAAACGCACTACTGGTACCTGCACATGTTTTTAAAAAAATCCCAAATTAGGCCCAGGGCCCATTTCGGCCAATATCGCAACTCCGGCACGGCGGCGATTCGCCTCGGTTTGGCCGTTTTCGGCCGAATTCGGCCACACTTGCATCGATCCTTGCGATTAAACAACTCTAGGGCCCTCGGGGGGCCAAAAAATTACGAAAAACCGAAGCTTACCGGCGGCGGTGCTCTCGAGTACGGCGGCTCTCCGGTGAAGTTCGTGTTTTGGTGATTCGGCTCCGATCAACCTGTAGAGAAAAGAATGGTGATCACGGTGATATAAAAATTGCATTAAACGGAGGCCGGGAAGGGCCTCATCGGAGGCAAAAACCGAGGAGGGGCGCGGCAGCGCCGCTGGGTTTCGGTCGTGTTTTCCGGCCGTTTGGCCAGGATTTTGGCTCTGATTTGGCCACAGGGGAAATCAGCGTGGAAAAACGAGTCGGGGGTATGAAATTTACCTCGATCGGCGGTCGGAATTCCCTCCGGTGCGGCGGCGGGTGGCGGCGGCCGGCTTCTGGTTCGTCTTCTCCAGCGAGCGGCAGGCGGCTAGGGTTTGTGGTCTGGTGTGGGGGTTCTATTTATAACCCTTTGCCTTTTGATCTCAGCCGTCCATTTTGTTTTAATCTGGGCCGTCCGTTTTTGATTAAATCTGGGTCGTCCGTGCGATTAAATCTGGGCCATCCGATCGCGCCTACGCAGATCGCCAACGTGGCCCGTTTCGGAACGACGTGGTCTTGCCACGTGGCAGGTCCCGGTTGGCCGGGACTGCTGACTGGGCCTGGTGACGTGGCTGCCGACGTGGCTTTTTTTTTTTTTTTTTTTTTTTTTCGGCCCCTTTCCGGGCGCTACAGTGGTAGTGATTAAAATTTTTATATTTTACTTAAGATTTACGAGTTTAAATTTTACTGAATATGTAAAGTTTATGTTTTAATAAAAAGTAAAACTATTTTTTTAAAATATTAAAAATTGTAGAATTTTATTTTAAACTATTTATTATTATTATTATTCTTCTTCACTAAATGGGGTATGTATGGTGATGCAGTTGGAAGCAAGCACCACCCCTCGCAAGCGCAAACGCAATCTTTTAAATTACGGTACTCTTGCTTCTTACAACTTATTTAATTCGATTCTTATTTATTTTTTTAACTCTTTAATCTTTTAATTCGAGTCCTTCTAGTAAATGGAGAATATTATTCTCTAATACTTTACTATTGTAACAAATACAGTTTCTTTTTAACTAATTCAATTCGATTTTAAATTAATTAAGAATAAAATAAGATTTATATTTTTCTTTAATTACTATAACTTAACTAAA